CTTGGTGAATAACTAAAGAAAATTTGCTTAGTTTCAGAATAGAATAGAATAGAAAACACTTCTGAACCAGACTGGAAGAAAACAGCCATTAAACATTCCATTAATTCTGTTTATTTGTTTTTGGTTTCTTTCTTTTTTTTTTAAGATTTAAAAATGATTTATTTATTTTTATTTTATCTGCATTGGTGTTTTGCCTGCATGTATGTCTCTGTGAGGATGCCAGATCTCCTGGAGCTGGGCTTACAGACAGTTGTGAGCTGCCGGGTGCTGGGAATTGAATTGGGTCCTCTGGAAGAACAGCCAGAATTCTTAATGGCCAAGTCATCTCTACAGAGCCCCCTGTCCTCATTCTTGAGACAGGGTCTCATTATGAAGCAAGGGCTAGCCAGAAACTCACTAAGTAGTTCAGGCTGTCCTTGAACTCACAGAGATCAGCTTGCCTCTGTCTCCCAAGTGCTAGAATTAAAAGCGTGTATTGCCATACCCAAACTAGACTAATAAGAACAGTGTTTATCAGGTGGGTCTAATCTACTATCCCAGATTCTGTGGGGGAATGACCATGGATTTGGCCAATCTGATCATACATTTTGTGAGGCCAATACTTCAGGAATTATGCATTTACCTGCACTGGGTTTAATGAAGTGTTAGAAAAATATATTTCTTCTGTATTTGGGAGAAGGGTTTCCTATCACTTTTCTGTGTCCCAGTGTGATTAATGAAATGTGTTGAACCTCTGGCTTCCATCTTGTGGACACTAAGGAGACACTAGCAGTGTTCTCCTATAAGGGGCACAGCAGAGGGTGCAAGAACCTGATAGCTTCATGGTGGAGTTTTATCAAGAACAAGATGTGATTGACCATCATGTCCCTATGCTCTTGGTTGTTGCAGTGTGTATTTCCTTTCCTTTCTTTGTTTTCACCCCGTTTCTTCCACCGGTCTCCAGTGCACCCATACGGAATGCTATTTTCATAGCTGGTTTGATATGGTGATCATACATTGTATCTGCATGAATGCAATTGGGCTGTCAATAACCATGGACTCTTTCCTCTGTTCCCTCTGCTTCTCATATCCACCTTTTCTTGGACTATATAGGATTTCACTATGTTTTCTAAGATGGACTTGGGCTTAAACTTATGAGCTTCCTGCCTCAGTTTCCCAAGTGCTTGTCTTACTTGTAGAAGGCATCTCAGCTGGTCAGGCTATATATCTATATACCTTTTTTTTTTTTTCCTGCTGACGACTCAAACACTGGATGCTGTAGCTGATACTAGCCAAGAACAGAATGTGATATCATGGGAGAAATGAAAGGAACGATGTATCCTTTTCTATTTGGACTCTGAAATGAAGTTTGAGAAAGTTAACTTTTCCAATAAGTGAGCAACTGTAGGCATCTGATGCAGGCATTCTGAGGAACAGGGAAAGGGAAGAAGCCATGATGCTGAGGCCTCCTGGTGTCTAGGTGGGGGCTGCTTGGGGGAGAGGTACCTCCTAGTTTTGCAGAAACAGCTCACCATCTGCTCCATTGCATGCTGGGAAAATACAAGGACCTTGGGGACAGATGCAGCTCTGTGAGTGACTGAGCTTTGGGAATCAGTCTCCCCTTGTCTGAAAGGCTTCTGAGCTTAGGGGTGATGGAAGCTCTTGAAAGTGTGCAGGGAGAAACTGGCTATTTCGTCCTCTGCTCAATGAGAGCTACAGTTCCAGCAGTTTCAAGGGACAGGGTGTGGTGGTAATGGCATCTGCTTGTAATCTTAGTACTCTAGTGGCTGGGGCAGGAGGATCTCTTCCTTCCTTCCTTCTTCCTTCCTTCCTCCCTTCCTTCCTTCCTTCCTTCCTTCCTTCCTTCCTTCCTTCCTTCCTTCCTTCCTTCCTCTCTCTCTCTCTTATTTCTTCCCCCTCTCTTTTTCTCGTTTTTCTCTTTTTGTCATCGTTTTGTTTGTTTGTTTTTGGAGACAGGGTTCCACCTCCCCCCACACCCCTTTAGTTCTGGCTGTTCTTGAACTTGATCTGTGTGCCAGGCTGGCCTCAAAGTCAGAGATCAGCCTGCCTCTGCCTCCTGAGTGCTGGGATTAAAGGTGTGCAACAACACCACCCTGGCCTGCATCTTAATTTCTTGACCAGCCTGCCAAGAATAGCCAGACTTTGTCTCAACAAACCAAAATAGCCTGTAATGTTCTGTGTGTTTGTAGCAATATCATAAGGGAGGCTAAGCCCAGGGGGTACAGAGTAGGACCCTCTCTCAAACCAGCCACCCAGATAAAATGAAGCAAGGCCTCAGTCAACAGTAGTAATAGTACAACTAGGGAAGGCAGTCCAGATTTTGTCTCTTTTGATATCCTACAAACATAAAGGAATGCTCCACGGTGGGTATAGAAAACTGCCTGACCTCTGTCCTGGCAAGATCTTTATTTTGCTACTTCAGGCTGCCTCTATGACATTACTGGCCAGTCAGAACAGTTTTGGGAGTGGGCTAAAAGAAACATGACAGCTTTCTAGAATGACACATTCTCTTGGATTTGAGGACATGATTTGGGGCCTTGGTTTTGAAAAATTTGTTCTTGTTCTTGTAGTTTATTAATAGCAGAATTTTCTTTCTTTCTTTCTTTCTTCCTTCCTTCCTTCCTTCCTTCCTTCCTTCCTTCCTTCCTTCCTTCCTTTCTTTCTTTCTTTCCTTTTCAAGACAGGGTTTCTCTATGTAGCCCTGGATGTCCTAGAACTCTGAGACCAGGCTGGCCTCAACCTCACAGAGATCTACCTGTCTCTGGCTCCCAAGTGCTGGGATTAAAGGCATGTGCCACCACTGCCCGGCTATTAGAAGAACACATTTTTCTAGTAATGAGCAGAATAGTATTTGACCATGGCATAGTATTCAGTGAGTAATCTTCTTTTCTGGCAGATGATTTGACAGCTCAGTGAGCAACAAGATGCCTGTAAGACACTAATGGCACGGGACTGCAGGAAGTGCTTTGGTGAGTAACTACAGCAGCATGCATTGGAACTCTGCATATCAACGAGGAGAGAGGACCATTGATCCTGCCTCCTGAGTGCTAGGATCAAAGATGTATTCCAGCAGCAGCAGCAGCAGAAGAAGAAGAAGAAGAAGAAGAAGAAGAAGAAGAAGAAGAAGAAGAAGAAGAAGAAGAAACAGAAAATAAGACCTGTCTGTTGACCACAAGATCCCCTAGGCTTGCAGCTCTTAGGCAACACTCCTAAAGCAGACTGGAGAAGCACACCTTTAATCCTAGCACTCGGGAGGCAGAGGCAGGAGGATAACTTCGAGTTCCAGGGCAACCAAACCTTCATAGGGAGACCCTGTCTATATATAAAACAAACAAACAAACAAACAAACAAACCAAAGGGAGTTAAAGAGAAAGAATAAAAACTATCCTGGCCAAGCTGGTTACCATTACTAAACTGTAGCTCATAAATCTATGCACTAACAAGTCAGTATGAGGCTGGAGAGATGGCTCAGTAGTTAAGAGCATTGGCTGTGCTTCCAGAGGGCCCTGGTTCAATTCCCAGCACCCACATGGCATCTCACAATTGTCTGTAACTCTGGTTCCAGGGGATCTGACACCCTCACACAGACATACAGGCACGTAAACTACAAACACACATAAAATAAAAATAAATAAATAAAACTTAAAAGAAGAATATATATTATTAGAAAGAAGGGAAGAGAGAGAGAGAGAGAGATAAGTAATCTGAGATGACTGAGCATCAGAGAAAGCTGCAGTATAAACAGGCCATTCTTTGTTGTTGTTATTGTTTGAGACAATTTGTTTGTAGTCTTGGATGTCCTGGACTAACTCTGCAGATCAGGCTGGCCTTGAATTCACAGAGATCTGCCTGACTCTGTCTCCCAAGTGCTGGGAGTAAAGGCATACACCACTGACGCCTGGCAAGCAGGCCATCTTTACAGCATTGCTTCAAACATCCATGCACCTAGGGGCTGACTACACAAACAATTCTGACTGGGATTTAGAGACTTGCATTGCAGCCTGCACTAGAATGTTGATTTGCCAGTACTTGTGAAACGTCACTGAAGGAGAAAAATACCTTTTCTGCATCTTAGAACTCTCTAGGCTGGCCTCAATCTCAGAGAGCTGCTTACTTCTGCCTCTCCAGCGACAGGATTGAAGGCATGTGCCGCTACTCCTGGCTTCATTTCTCTTATTTTTAAGATTATAATATAATTATATCGTTTTACCCTTTCCCTTCTCCAAACTCCCTCATATACCTCGACTTGATCTCTTTCAAATTCATAGCCTTTTTAATTAACTGTCCTTACACACACATATATGTATAAACACACATATTCCTAAAAAAAAAAAAAACAAAAACCAAAAACAGCTCAGTATGCTTTTCTTCTACTTCTCAAGTTCTAAAATGTGAAATTTTCAAATGAATAATAAATGCCACCATCCTGTTGGATCTAGGCATGTAAAGTATAGTTACCCACAAACCCTAATCTCATAAGAAAGGCACAGGCCTGGTGGCACAGGACTTTAATCCAGCACTAGGGAGGCTGAAGGGAGGTACATCTCTGAGTTTGAGGCCAGCCTGATTTACATAGCAAGTTCTGGGACAGACCCTGATCTCAAAAACAAATGAATAAACAAACAAACAAACAACAACAACAACAACAAAAACTGGCCAAATCAATAAAAAAACAGATGCAGGACTCACCAAGTCCTTCCTGCTTCCACACATTTATCCCTCACCTGCTTTTCTAGTCCATGCTCAGTAGAGTTCCTCAAGAATCTTTGGTTATTACCTAGAAGACAATTTGAATTTCTGGGCACCCAATCGTTGTGAAAGCCAACAGCTGATTGGTTGGATTAATAGGAGACACTCTGGGGATGGGTCCCTTACCCTAAGGTGGGTCAAGGGCTGGGTTTTTGGCCTGTGTGTATAAGCCAGGGCCCAGGCCTTCTCCACAACATTCTGCAATCATTTGCTTGGACTTGCCTTCTTCTGAAGTGGGAGAAATTTTTGAAATGGAGAATGCCTGGTGGACATTTCCTGAAAACTTTGAAGCCCCATTTGTGTTTCTCATAGACGAGGCCCAGGAGGAACAAATATTTGGTAGGTAGCCATTGCCTGCATCTTCTCCTCTTACTCTTTCATGGTTTCCAACCTGCTCCTTTATCCCTGCCTTTCTTAGTTTCCTGCTTGTTGCTGTGTGGCATTGATCCTCGGGGGGTGGGGGGGCGATCAATATCTGCTCACCCTAGAGCGGGACCCAGAAAGAGAGCAGAGTAAGGAAACCATGAGTAGAACTCAGTGAGCCAACGAGTTTTATTGAGTTTATTTATAGGAATACGAGTGAGGGGTTATCGATAGCAGTAGAAAAGACAGCTGCACCACTATGGTCCACTCTAGGTCACGAAAGCTGGAGACCTGGAACACACTGAACAAGCCTGCAGGCAACCCAACAGGTTGAAGGGTGTTCTTTCCCAGTGGCTCAGTTGGTGTAAGCCTCTTCCAGGCAGCCCTGTTGGTCTCTGCTTCTTCCAGGCTGCTGGGATTCTGAGTTTCTCAGCAGCTCAGCCTGTCTGAGAGAGACTATTGGCAGTCTTTTCTGCTTACATAATCTTTGTTGTTTTGTTTTGTTTTTTTGAGGCAGTGTTAGGGTGTTTCTTTGAGTAGCCTTGGCTGTCCTGGAACTGGCTTCGTAGACCAGACTTGGGGGGTGGAGGGCTGGAACTCACAGAGACCCATTGGCCTCTACCTCCGGCAGGCTGGGATTAAAGGTGTGTGCTGCCACCGCCCAGCTTGCTCCCATTATCTTGGAGGTAGGAGCCCAGTGTCTCTAGACAATTTTTAGCGACTTTTAGAAGTTGTTTGCTTCTGTCTTAAGAGGCTTCCTTGCTTGATGGAGTGGCCCCGTCCTTGAACAGTTCTTTGTTTTTTTGAGATGGTGTCTCTCTCTGTGTAGACCAGGCAGGCCTTGAACGTAAAGGGATCTGCCCGCCTCTGCCCTCTGAATGCTGGGATTAAAGGAGTGCACCACAATGACTGCTACAACCTACCTGGTCTCTTTCTTAACATCCTGTGTCTTTACAGTTTCATTCCCAACAGAAGCTTTTAGTCTTGGAGGTAACTGATAATACAGCACCATACTCCTCACAGACTCCTTTCCACACAACACATGCTAGTGGCTTGTATGTTCCCTCATCATCCGTTCTCTGTACAGGCCATGGGGACTTATACCTCCGAAGAATAGAGGTACACAGCAACACCTTCATTGAACTGGAATCCTGGTTCACAGCCTCAGGCCAGACTCGAGTCACTGTGGTTGGGCCCTTCAGAGCAAAGCAGTGGCTGATGCATATGATTTGGAGTTTGGGTAGCCAGGAAGCTCACCACCACGCCCGAGGTAAGTGACCTTGGCAGAATTGGGGTTGTATGGCACCGTAAATGCTCACGGCGCCTCTCAGGAATATGGAAGCCCAGATGCTCCTCAAAATCAAAGGGAAATAGCTTTAAGTTGTAGCCGTTTGTATTACATGAAGTCCCTAAGATCATGGAGAGATATGAATAGAGCATCCGGGGTGGGATGGCCTGGTTTTGGCTGAAATCTTCCCCTACCATGTCCTCAAGGAAGTCTTAGTTCCTAGTTTTAAGCCTTGCTTCACCATTGGTTCACATTCCTTCCCAAGGTCAAGAGATGTTACTGCGTGTCCAGAACCAACCCCTGACCAGAGCTGACTTGGATGATTCTCTCAGGGTGCAGGCCTATGACTGGGGCCTGTCTCCAGTTATCAGGATGAAAGGGACGACCTAAGACTGATCTTCGCAGTTTTGACCAGCCTTTGAGAAAAACCTGCAGGACACTGAAGGGACTTGAACTGGTGCATAATCCTGTCACTCATGTGCATGTATCTGAGGGAAGTCTCCTAAGTGTCACAGTGCTGTGATGCTGAACACCCAATAAAGTTACCTAAGGTGAAATGCCTTTTATGTGTTAATCTCTTTCCTTTGGATAAACCTATCCAACCCAGTGTCTCTGCAAGCTGTGTTCCTAGGTCTGGGTGGACTGCACTGTCCCCTAGGAAGCCGAGCCCAAAGAAGGGGCTGGGAACAAGATACAACTTTATTTTTTTCTCTTATTAAGATCATGGAGATAACCTAGAACCCCTGCACAGATGTAGTTCATGGCAGTTCAGTGTCCAAGTGGGTTACATAGTGATGGGAAGAGGGACTGCCTCTGATATAAACTGATTGGCCTGCTCTTTGATCACCTCCCCCTGAGGGGGGAGCAGCCTTACCAGGCCACAGAAGAAGACAATGCAGCCATTCCTGATGTGATCTGACAGACTAAGATCAGAAGGAAGGAGAGGAGGACCTCCCCTATTAGTGGACGTGGGGAGGAGCATGCATGAAGAAAGGGAGGTAGGGTGGGATCGGGAGGGGAGGAGGGAGGGGCTTATGGGGGGATACTAAATGAATAAAGTGTAATTAATAATAATAATAATAACAATAAAGAAAAATGATTTTAGAGGTTATTTTTAGCTCCTTATAAATAAAAGGCAGTCAAACATAACTTTAAAAAACAAAAAGATCAAAAGCCTGGTAGGTTGCTCTTCATATCTGAAGACACAGGTTCTGCAGACAAACCTTCTCAGGAGGCTTAGGTGTTTCTTAGCTTTCAAATACAATGAAAAATTAAGAGTGGATATTGAGACCAGAGGGAGATACATTTGTTGAAGTAGGCAAGGTGGTCAGGTCACTGAGCCTGGTAAAAATGAGCAGCTCCCATTATCCCGGATTTCCAATCATTTGGGAGGCTGGGGCCTGGAGAGTGGCTTTGGGGATCCACAAATAATAACAAGAGTTTTCTCATTCCCTTGAACAGTGCTATCCTTTCATTGATTTCCACCCAGCATAGAGCAGACTAAGCATTTTCACCCGTAAGCTTCTCCTCCACAAGAGGCCCCTCTGCAGCCTGCATCTTATGAGGACCCCATTGCCTCAAACTAGGAAGAGAGGCTTCTTGTCTTGGAACAGAGTGGAATGGAAGCCATTTCAGAAAATAGTTGAATTCGGGATATCCTTTGGAGCTCCTTACATTGTCTTCACACTGACAACTGCTGAACAGAAATTAGATCACTTTCGAAGTAGAAAAACACTTGGGAGTCTTAAGTACTCTCAAAGGGGACTATTATTTATTTATTATTTCACATTTAGAGGGAAAACAGCTTGTTTAGGAATATATATATATATACATATATATGTATGTATATGTGTCTGAGTGTATGTATGCATGTCAGGACAGTTAATGAAAAAAGAGGCCATGAATTTGAAAAAGATCAAAGAGGGCTTTATGAGAGAGGGTTTGCAGAGAAGAAAGGGAAGGGATAAAATAATGTGATTCTATCTAGGTTTGGTTTGGTTTTAGGGGACAGTTTCTCAGTGTAGCCCTGGCTGTCCTGGAACTAATATTGTATACCAGGCTGTCTTTGAACTCACAGAGATCCACCTGCTTCTCTGCCTTCCCAGTGCAGGGATTAAAGGCGTGCACCACCACACCTGGCAATAGGATTATATTGTAATCTCAAAAAAAAAAAAAAAAAAAAAAAGCCCGGAGAAGTGGTGTACGCCTTTAATCCTAGAACTGGGTTGGCAGAGGCAGGCTGACCTCTGAGTCTGAGGAGAGAATGAAGAGATCTGTCAGCGAGAGCTTCTGAAAAAAAGTTTCACACCAACTATCAGCAAATCAACTCTCCTCTCCAGGCTTGCAAGGCAGCTCTTTAATTTCCAGTCTGAATTGTTTGTGCTGTCAGCACCTAGGTACATTAATCCTTGAGGCTATGTGGCAGAAATGGCCCGCTGATACTGCCGCTTTGCTGCTTGGTCATCTTTGGCAAGATACTGGATTCTCAGCGAAGAGATTTTATGGTCTCCAAAATAGCTGTGAGAATAGAGACTACCTCAGCCAGCTTAATATTTTTTTTCTCTTTTACTGTCTTTTTCTTATTTGAGGCAGGGCCTCTCTCTGGAGCTCTGGCTGTCCTGGAACTCACAGGGAGTTCCAGACTCTGCCTGTCTCTGTCTACTGAGTGGTGGGATGAAAGGTGAGCACCACCGCACTGGCCTGCTTACTGCCTTTCGGATCAGTCCATGGTTTTGCCTATCCCTGGCTGGCGCTTCAGCCAGTCAGATCATGTACTTTGTGACGGTACTGCGCTGGAAATTTACATCCGACTGCTGTTGGTTTCATGAAAGCATTTTTATTCTTCATTTAGGAAGAGGGGTGTGGGTCTCCTTCCTGTGTCAGGGTAATTAAAGAGACATGTTGTGCCGGGGCTTACTGGCAGTTGTCTTGTGGACGGTAAGAGGAAACACCAACATCCAAGAGAAGGAACGGAGAGGCTGGAAGAGCTTGGGAGTTTGATGACAGTGGATGAGAGGATACCTGGCCTTTTTCTCTAGCTTTGTGAGATGGGCATGGAAATTTCTGTGATTGAGGTTGCTTCACTAGTATTTTCTTTTCTTTTTCTTTCTCTCTGTTTCCATAAAAACATTTCCCCCGTTCTTCTTTCAGCAAAGGTGTCATTGTGCTTTAAGCCAAATGCCTCCTAACTGCCCTGTTATTTTTTGTAATATAGTTGGCATGATATGACTATAAGTGGATATATTGAGATAATGTTGGGCAATGTTTTTTGTTTTTGCTTTATTTATTTATTTATTTATTTATTTATTTATTTATTGAAATATGTAGAATTTCGATATGCAGCTTAGGGTAGTTTACTTTTTATTGCTTTAATAATGACCATGGCCCAAAGCAAAACACTCCTTTTCTTCTTTTTCTTTCTTTCTTTCTTTCTTTCTTTCTTTCTTTCTTTCTTTCTTTCTTCCTTCCTTCCTTCCTTCCTTCCTTCCTTCCTTTCTTTCTTTCTCTCTCTTTCTTTCTCTCTCTCTTTCTTTTTTTTTTAGCAAAACACTAGTATCCAGAGAATACATTTAAAAAATTAAAACTCGGGCTGGAGAGATGGCTCAGCAGTTAAGAGCACTGGCTGATCTTCCAGAGATCCTGAGTTCAATTCCCAGCAACCACATGGTGGCTCAGAAGCCATCTATACTGGGATCTGATGACCTCCTCTGTCAAGCAAGTGACCTATATAGATAGAGCATAGTGCACTCATATGTAAAATAAATAAATAATTCTTTAAAAAAAAGTTAAAACTCAATAATTTAGAATTAGATGAGTCGTAAGGAAAATTTAGTGAATGCAAAATTTAAAAATTTTCAGAAATATTCTTGTATCAGACTTAAAGCATTTGAAATCAGAGAAATAATACCTTGCCACTTCAAGACCAGTGACCCATTTTTTTTTTTTTAAATCAGCAGTTAGGACAATAGAGTTGTATATTTTTATATTAAAAGGTAGGTTTGAGCTACTGCTAAAGTAGTTCCAGAAATGTTTAGAAGCAGTTTAAAAACTTTTCCAGCATGCGGATAGGTGTTTTGCCGGCATGCATGTCTGTGCTCAGTGTGGACTCTGTTGTCACAGAGGCCAGAGGTGTTGGCTCTCTCAGAACTGGAGTTTCGGATGCTTGTGTACTGCCATGTGTATTCTAGGATAGAATCTGGATCTTTTGCAAGAGTAGTCAGTGCTGTTTGTTTGTTTTGAGATAGGGTCTCATTGTGTAGCCTTGGCTGGCCTGGAATTTGCTGTGTAGGCCAGGATGGCCTCAGACTCACAGAGATCCACTTGTCTCTGCCTCCCTATTACTGGGGTTAAAGGTGAGTGCCACCATGCCCAGCCTTGCTAGTGTTTCTAACTCCAAAGCCATCTCTCTAAGCCACTAGAAGGAGCCTTATCTCCAAAGAAAGCAGTGAAAGCATGGCCCTTACGTCTGACATTTAGTGTCTTCATCTTGACAGGCAGTCATCGAAGTCAAGCCTCTCTAACACCTGTGAGAGATTATTTAACTTCTGGGCTTGTCTGTGAGGAATTATGTTGATTAGTTTAACTGAGGCCAAAAGATGAAATACAAATAAAAGCAGGTTGCTCTGTTTCCTAGACATGGGTCCTGGGCTGCATAAATAGGAGAAAGCTAGCCCAGGCCCAGATTCATTGCTCTCTCCTTCCTGATTGCAGATGTGAAGAAGCTACCAGCTGCTTCAAGCTCCTGTCCCCATGACTTCTCTGAAAGGAAACCGTTCCTTACGCTGCTTTTGGCAGGCTCTTTGTGTGGCATCAATAGAGTAAGACCCTACCTGGTCTGGTTCTCAAGCATTCGTAAGTTAGTAGTTGAGAAACATTCCTATCTGACGGCTTTGAAGCCAACGTGAGCGCTTCCTTTTCAGCACCTCTCGTCCTACTTCCCCTCATCTAAGGATGTCTCCCTAAGGTCCCTAAGGACTTTGTGCTTGTATATCCTGAAGTTGTAAGATTCTGCATTCTATTGAAAATAGTTGAACTAATACTAGCCTCCTGGCACGGGTTGCCAGTAGTTGAAGGTAACAGGAGTTTTTATTGTTACTGGTATTTTTGTTGTAGTAATAGTTTTTTTTTTTTTTTTTTTTTTGATAGAGTCTCACTATGTAGCCTCAGGCTGGACTCTAACTCATGGCAAGCCTCTTGTCTCAGTTTCTAAAGAGCTACTGTAGCTGGCTGGAGTGGAGTCTCTTTTATTATTATTTTTTTCTTTTAAAAGTTTATTTGTTCTTTAATTTTATGTGTATAGCCAGACTTTTAATTCCAGTACTCAAGAGAGGTGGAGGCAGGTGGATCTCTGGGAGGTCAGCCTGGACTACAAAGTGAGTCAAGTCTACACAGAGAAACCCTTTCTCAATAAAACAACAACAACAACAAAAACCAAACAAATACAAACAAACAACATCCCCCC